GAAACAAAAAAAACCATCAAAACAAAAACAAAAACAAAAAAACTCTACATCAAATATTTAAAAAATAGAAGTGAGGATAATATCTCAAAGTATAAGCAACTTAAAAATATTTAAAAAAAAGTCTAAACCGTTATTTTATTCAAAACAGATTGAAAACTATATGCCAAAAGAGATATCAAAATGACTTGAGATGTCATGGAAGAATTATTTGGTAAAAATAAAAATCAAACCAATTATTCTCATAAATGAAAAAGAGTTTAATGTTAAAAAAAGCTAAATAATACAAAAATAATTTTTATCATTGTTTATTTTTTTGGCCGTGACATAAGGATTTAAAATAAAATATTAATTATTAAAGTGATTAACAGAACATTCTAACTCAAAAATTTAAAAGGAACTATCATCAAATAAGTCTTCTCTTTATTATTAGAATGGTCTTTAAATTTTTATAAAGAAATTTCTAACATCTCATCTTGAGTATAATTGATTTCTGACATTCAATACAGGTTTTGGTCCTCTCGTTCTACAATTGCCTTAATAACTGGTATGATGAAAACCTCTGCGCCACCGTCTATCATTAGGTGGTGGCGCGGAGGTTAAGGCTATTTCTCTTGATATATCTAAAGATTTTGATAAATATTGGCATGCTGGTCTTTTTCATGAACTTGCTTCGTATGGTGTATCTGCAAACGTTTTTGAGATTATTAAACCATTCCTTTTTAACTTTTTTATTTCAGGTAACTTCTGGAGTACTACAAGGTTACATCCTTGATATTGTTTCTCATTTTTATTAATGATGTAGCTGACATTCTAACATCCAAAATAGCTTTTATGCTGCCGACACAACTATATACTTCTGTCACAATAAAAAATCTTCACATTTTGGTAGTTTAAAACCGGCAGCCAATATCGAAGTTGATCTCTCCTCTGTTACAGCCTGGGGCTCGTAGTAGTTTGTGAATTTTAACTCCAGTAAAACTCAGTTATTTAATTCAAACAACTATCACAATACTATTTATATTTCTATATTGAATGACTCTTACTTTATGTCATCATGGATTACAATTCAGTACTGATCTCTCATGGAAATAATATATACAATCCATTACAAAGTTTGCATCAGGTTTCTCTTTTTTTTATCATTTTCTTATTTCCAACTCTATTATTTACCCTTACAAGTCACTTGCTTGACTCTGTATAAAATAATGTTGTCATGTTTAGGCTGGTTTTCCAAAGAGGCCTATTCTCTTTTTGACAAAGTTCACAAACATTTTGTAAATGCAGACTTGCTCTTTCTGCCAAGTTTAAACAACAATCTTATTATTGCTTGGTTGCATCTTTTCAATTTTCTACTGATACGATTATGGTAGCTGCTCAAGCAAAGTGTCATGTCTAGTTCCAGTAACCAAAACTCATTTTTGCTTCGTCATTCAACAAAGTCGCATCATTTTACTGAATCTTTGCTGTTATGGTCTAAAAATTTTTATTTATCTTGTTTAATTTTTCTCAAAAAAACGCGTTGGAGCTTTTTATCATACTCTTTTTTTCTCGAATAATAAAATTTACAGTTTTTTATAGTCAACATTTTTTTACAGTCTTTTGTCAACCATATTTCTTTCTCTTTAAAAAAATCCTTTGTAGAAAAATTTTCTATTCAACTTTTTTTCAAAGTTTGGGTAAAAAAAGTTTTTTGTTATGTTAACACATTTGAAATCAGGATAAATATTACACTTCGAGACCTCCCCTTCTGTCCCCACTCTCCACATTTAACTTACACGCCGTTTATAATAATCGGGTTTTTACGAAGCAGAAAGAGTTATAAATTTAAGTCACTGTGCAGATTACTATACCTCTTTAACTCAAATTTATATTTAAGAAACAATTCTCTAATGATTTTATTTTAAACTTTATACTGTTTACATCAATTAAACTTGTCATTTCGAAAAAGACAGAAGTCTAAATTTTTTAATAGTTTAGTCTATAATATAAAATTAAAAATTTATGTATGGTTTATGCTTTTTTATAACAAATAAACTTTACAAAATATTATATTTTTTATTTATCTACTCCTATGCTCTGTCTTTTAGTTTAATTTCTTTACCACCAATGATATAATTTTTTTGAAAAAAAGCATTTTTTGTTGATTTTGAAAAGTTTTAATAAATAAACTTAAATTCTTTTTTGGCCCCTATGAAAATATTTAGAAAATTTGAAAAAAAAAGAGGGGTTGATTGCACCAAATGCCATCACCCCACTTCCTTCCACGGTACAGACATGCTTTTCGAAATAGGTTCAGTTGATGTGATTTTTCGTTTAGGAAACACATCAATTGTTTCGTCTATTAGCCAATATACTCATATCAGATATCGATTTTAATATTTCGAATTTCTGGTATCCATATGCCTCTATATGTAAGAACAGGCGTAGTAGAGTGTATATAGATTGACTGACTTAAATAGATACGCGCAGTGATTATTCATACATCGACTGAGGGTTGGGG